GTGTTTCTTACGCCAAATTACGAAAGCTTAGAGATAGAAAAATATAAAAGAAGTAAGCTAATCCTGTGATCGAATTTATGTTTAAAGTGCAATTTTACCTCGATCAATATTCTTGCGCGGCTCGCGTCCGCACAGATCTGGTTTGAACACGTAAAAGAATGGGCGTAAAAGGTGTAGGTACTGTTCGAAAATATATTGCAGTTCATATATCGATATATCGATACATACAAATATCGCTGAGGCGATTCTAAAGTGCATTAAAATGTAAAATATTCAACAATATGGCTGAACCACCGAATCTCACGGCCCGAGAAGTGTAGCAGGTATTTGCAGAGATTCTCAGCCATGGCGAGGACATCACTTGGGATCAGTGAGTGCCCGCCCAAAAATCCTTTGTCCCTCACTTGAAATCTATAGATGGCCAATCCCTGACCTGACAGATTGCTGCATAATCAACGAGACATTCTGAAAAGGAAAGTTCGAAAAATATTTAATCAGAGACATAAATATTTCTGGACAACGTTTGGACTCTACGTAAGCAGACTGCGCGAAACAGCAGCTCCGTCACTAATCCAGGCGTACATACATAACTTTAGGTAAATGCGCCAACGGCCAGTCCCTTTCTGCGTTGTTCTTTGCGGTTATTGTGAATGGAGTGACCGACTTGAAGGAGGCAGAGAATAGCAGATCCTGGTCGATCCACCCAGTTTTCCGCTGCCGTCGCTGCGTTGGTAATGTCGAACATTAAAGTAGTTTCAAATCGATCCAATTGCATATGCCTATACTTTCAGCCGACACGGATGGAGGGATAAGCAGCAGCCCAGACTGTTGCGTGATGTATGTGGATCTAAGCGGGCTCTTTGAGGACTGGGATACATACTAAATGCGCACAGCTCTTCCCCCAGGGGTTATGGTAACCTGTGATCGAGGCGTCTACAAGCTGATCGATGGCCAGGTTGAGCTTAAAACTTATATGATAACGGAGAAAATGTACACACGCAATGCGTGCTTCATAACGTCTGAAGGTCTGAAGGCAGCCTTGGAATTTCCTGGAGTGCATCGGCTTTACTCGGAATCAAGCTCTAGATATATATTGCAAGTAACATAGTAGTAGAACATATAAGAGCGAGCGACAAAGTGCTATACCTGCTTTTGTATGATACTTTTAATCTC